ATATATATATATATATATATATATATATATATATGTATATCTAATAATTTGTCGTTTCAGTTGTTTTTACATCAAAAACAGCATCATTAGCAACGACGACAACAACATCAACAATATTATATCAGCATCAAAGATTCTGACAGTCGTTGAACTTATCAAACACTGAAAATTAGTAGATTAAATTGAAAATTATCAGTAATGCTGAAGAAATAAAAGTCATATAAAAAATACGTGGTTTAAGGGGCGTTGTCGGAGAAAAAAAACTGTGATTTTTCTCAACAATATAACAGAAAAAAAAAGCTTAACAGTTTTTCAGTCAACAGAGACCGTTGAAACAGTTCTTTTTTTCCTGAAATATTCATTGTGCTTATTTTCAAATAAAATGTTATGGATTTCGCTCTTCACCGAATTACAGAGTAATAATAATAAGTAAACATATAAGCATGCCTACTTGCATGCAGAGTTTCCTGAATTGCTTAATACACAAAATTTCTTCCTCCTCAGTTGTATGTGAACAAAGGGAAAAAAATACTATAGCATTAATCTTTGTCATCTTTGACATATAATATGTGTGTATGTACCTTGTTATTGCCGTTCCTCTGGTTTCCTCTATTTCCCCAATTTTTGCCATCTAATTTGCTGCTCCCAAACATTTACATATGGTTTTTTCGTCATAATCAGAGCGGTAATAAACTTCTGAAAAATTTAAAATGGAATGTACCAGAAAAGGCCGTGCCAGTGGAAGGGATGGAAGAGATGAGGTGTAAGAAACAGAGAGGAAGAATGGGAATGGGAAGGAATCAGAGAAAGAATATATGATCGAACATAACGGCGATCGAAAGAGCAAGCAGTAAAAGTGGATTGAACATGAGGAATATGCATGATATATGCTGTTTTTGGGGGTGGGCGAGTGCCGACTAGGGGGTTGCAGGGGACGGGAACAGTGGCGCGAGAGGGAAAGATTGGCAGTTCTAAAAAGCACAAAAGAAAAATTTTGGAGAGTGGCCAAAGAAGTATTGGTTATCTTGGCAGTAGCTAAAAAGCCGATAGGGACTGCAATCCGGCGAGATGTTTGCTGCTGGCAGTTGGTTAGCCAATTTTGACGTTTGTAAGCCAGTTTCGGTTGTGCGTGTTTGGCAATCAGCGGGTACATGCTGTGTGTCATGTGCGTGTTTGTATGTTTATGAGTGTGAGTACATGTCGTGAGTGGGAAAAAAGCTTTTTTATTCTTGATCCATTTTTATTGGCTTTTTTGTTTTTGGCTTTACATGCTTGAACAAACGGGAAGAGCTCTCCTCAAAGATACACTGCAGTTATTCAGGCCATCTTGCTTTGGTGTTGGAAAAAAATGCTAGTTTACAATTGATTTTAGTTAAAAATTTTCGCGACTTTTGTTGCATTTTTTAGGCAAATTTTTTTTAATGTTTGTATATTTGTGCTTCTTAATTTCTTTTTTTTTTTGCCTCTATTCTTGTATGTTTTTCCACTATCATATTTGTGCTTCCATTGATAGGTTCTTTTAGAGTTAAATAATTATTTGTAGAAGATTATCGTTGCTGTTGTTTTGGAAAATAATTTATAGGAGAATATGCACATAAAAATGGGCATTGAAAAAAATGGTTTTCAGCACTTTCTATTTAACTTCTTTTTTCAGTCTTTTTTTTTTTTTTCTGAGTTTTATTCTATTTTACTCACTTTTTTCGCTGATAACAAAGGCAGTAAAATTGATTTTCTTTGTATACTTTTGTGTTATGATGTGAGAAGCTGTACAGACCAGTACCAATAAAAATGTGATTAATAATTAAACAAATAAGTAAGAAGTTGTTGAAGAAGATGACAAAATACTTATTGTGGATGGCTGCATGTCAACAGTTTTACTGCATTAAATTTCTTGCTGGTCATCTCTGTTACATCTGTAAATGACAAAAAAAAAAAAAAAAAAAGAAAAAAGAGAAAAATCCTTTTCTTGAGCGGATTTCAGACTTCACTGTTTGTTCTACTTTTGCCTTAAAAGAAAAAAAAAAAA